AGGGCTTGATCCAAAGCCCAACATGTCAATAGAGTCCATCAATGGCTATTAGCCAGGATGGGCAGGGATGATGTCTCTAGTCTCTATTTGTCAGAAGCTGGGAATGAACTAAAGGGAATTTCCCTCTTCAGCACTAGAGCTGCAAGTATCTTGTTAGCGTCACGTGAAATTAACAAGTCCCTTCCAGCCTGGCAGAGGTGAAGCTGAAAAATTACCCAGTGGTGTGGGTGGGCAAGAATGGGGAGGAGCAGGACAGAAGGGAAGAGGGGATAAGCCCCAACCCCACACCCTGGCTGGAGCGGAGCAGGGTAAGCCCCGAGGGGATGGGTCTGGTTGCAAAGTGGGTGAGTGGACAATGAGGACCCACCTGTGGCTAAACTCCTGTTCCCAACACAGAATTTTTCTTTAAAATTAATCCTGTGGATAAATTCACACACACACTTCACAGGAAGGGATTTCCATTTTCTGCTCAGCAGAATACAACAACAGCTTTAATTGTATCAATATTTCACTGTGCTCTCCAATGACTATTGATTACACTTAATACCCATTTCACTGAACCATAGCAAATTCTATGTGGAACAGTAATATGCATTGAATAAACTTTTTTTAAGTTATAAAAAACAAAGATTTTGACTATTAAATGAATAACTGGGATCTTTCAGGTACCCCAAAAGGAAGATTTGGATATAGCATGAAACACTGAAACTTATGATCAATTTTTAATTAAAATATCAACCAAAAAAACCTTCATATCAAAACAGTATGTGTTTTCTTAGAATAAGGAAGTTGTATGAGAATCAGGGTCTTTTCCACGTAACTCCAGCTCCCTGTCCCCCCCAAAATATGTACCAGTTCCGACTTACATACAAATTCAACTTAAGAACAAACCTACAGTCCTTATCTTGTACGTAACCCGGGGACTACCTTATTTTAGAATTCTGACGTTTAAAAGGCAGGTGTGCATTATACATAGGTGCGCATTATACTCGAGATTTTACGGTAGTTCAAATATAAAGGCTTTATTTCAGACTTGACTTATTCTGCAAACAGGCTCAGGGGAGCATGCTCAGGAAGATTTCTACAGACTTGGTCCCTGAATCAAGGAAGCTGAGCCATAGCTCAATTAAGATGTAACCTCCATACAGACAAAAAGTTAACTCAGCTTTGAAGCAACACGTGACTGACTGACTCTTGTGCTGTATAGGATATATGTATCTTGGGCAGAGATCATTATGTACAACTGGACATCTCTCAGCCACAGTTGCAATAAAAGGAGTCAGAATCCAATCTACAAATCCACAAGGGAATAAACACTATCAGTGTCTATGGGTCTTAAGCTGAGATTTTTTTGTACTACAAGTGATTTTTTTTCTTTATTGCCAGTGACCTATCCATGACTTTTAATCTTAGTCTTATTCATAACTGCTTAAGAAAGCCTTATTACCTATAACCAATCTAACAAATCCTCTTTGCATTGACACTGATGGATACATGAACATACAATTAGCCCATATCATCTATCTATTGTCCTAACTATAAGACGACAACGTTATCCTGTTCATTGAGCAAATAAAAGCATCAATCTTTCATCAAAATGTTTAACCTGTGGTAAAACTGAAGTCTGAGGACATTATATGGAATTATGAACACTTTTTACATATTGTATGATAACTTATTCAAAGATTCCTTTGCATAGTCAAGGGAAGTTGGAAACTGAATTAACCTGGTAAAATAGTACAGGAGAAAAAAAGGACAGATCACGTGTCTGAAATTGTCAGCTCCTTAACTGAATGTGAATAAATAGCTCAGCATTACTAGTGACTTGAGGTAACTGATCAATGTAGCCAGGTGGGATTTCAAGGGGATGATGACTTCTTATCTTTTTTGTAGAGTCAACTCTGGTAACCCCAGCTGTGGCTAGCCTTTCTGATTAAAGGAAAAATGGAATAACTCCATGTGTATGTACGGAATAAGTACACTTCAAATTTAACTTTCATCTACAGCCATTCTGACAGAATCTAATGCATCTCATAGCAAAAAAACTATCATATGCCCGAACACAAGTTAACAACACGAGTATGTGAGAAAAATCATATTCATTGTTATGTTAAACCTGCAGTATAAAAAAATCAACTACCTTTTACTTGGAGTACACAAAGCAGGGATGCATGTTTGTTGCCTGTTTATATTTGGTATAGAGAAGGGAAAAATCTGAAAGGGTGTGCCTGTCTTGGCAGTCAACACAGAACCAGAAGTTAAAGATGAAGAAAAGACTTATTAGGTCATCCTGTCTATCCTTTTGCTAGTGAAGAATTGTTCTCTACAGTGTATTTAAGTACTTTGTTCAGTCTCGTTTTTCATGTCTCAAGCAATAGAGATTCCACCCTTTCCCTGAGGAGATGATGTTTCAATCTCACAGAGCTCAGCATCAGGAAGTTTTTTCCTATTATTCAACTTTTTTTTTCCTTTGTTCAATTTCATTACCTTACACCTAAATCTACTCCTCTTGTTGCCTAGACCAATTTTTCTCTCCCAGAAGTTTACACCCTTCAAATACTTTCACCCTGTTCTTTCTTAGTCACATCATAATATAAAATACCTAATTAATGGATTTCATCTCCAGAGTCTTAAAGAGGGTCTGGCCTCTCTGATCAGAAAGTAGTAACTTTGAATGTGGAACTAAAGATATGTTTTCATTTCATTTCATAGCAAATGCAAGAGCGTGTATGGAATCCAGCCCCTGTGAATAGCACCAACATTGTTTCAGTGAATGCCTTTCAGCCTTTGTCAGGATATTATAATGAAAGATCTGGTTTTCTCATGGTGTTTCAGTTCCTGGATAGCAGAAATGTTTTAAGACACACTCTCAATATTACAGGTCCTTAAATTGATAGTTTGTGCATTAACCAGGAAAACTAATTAAAAAACCCACATCTTATAAATGCACAATGTTTGAGCCCTCACTCACACTTTAATTATCCTCTGTACTGTTTATTACATCTACAATTTTGATTTTGCTAATACTTCAGTGTTCTGGTTGTCTGAGTGCTACTTCTAGCAATCTAATGACACAACTAAAAAAACTTAAAAAAAGAGTGGTCCTGTAGCACCTTAGAGACTAACAAAAAATGTAGATGGTATCATGAGCTTTCGTGGGCACAGCCCACTTCTTCAGATGACCATACTTCTTCAGAGGACCGGAGTTATATATAGTTTTCCAGCAATAAAACTGGCTAGCAGATAACCCTGACAGCACGAGCATCGCCAGTAGAGCATGTGTTGAAGCAAACAATGTGTATTCTGAAGTGGGCTGTGCCCACAAAAGCTCATGATACCATCTACATTTTTTGTTAGTCTCTAAGGTGCTACAGGACCACTCTTTTTTTAAGTTTTTTTAGTTACAGACTACACCCCTCAGACTGTTGAACCAAACTCTCTGCTATATGAGGGTTGCTATTTTTCACTTAACTGGTATAACCATAGCTTTCCCTCAAAGCTGTTTAGTAATTCTTTCTCCAAGTTTTTGAAATGATACATACTGTGATTTCACTAATTACAACTCAAATTATTTTAAGATAATACCCAGATATGCCCATTTGCTTAATGTCTTTCAACCCTTTTTGTGACTATGCTGTATTTCCGAAGCACACATTAATTCCTTCTTACCCATTACTTATTTTCAAGTTAAACCAGGCACACAAAAGCATTCGGTAGGCCCAGTCATTCCTCTCAGACCATAAACTCTTAAAAAAGCTCTGGGTGAATAAAAATTAAATTTGTAAACATTACTGGTAATTCTAGAGCTAGTGGAAATATTTTGAACAGTTTTCCATGCAAAAATGTTGCTTTTATTAAAATCAAGCCAGCTTCCTAGGCTTCCACTTGTCAGACCTGAAACTCAACAGCCAGGGAATGCTGTAGCCTGAGTTGCTGGAACTGGAATTATTCAATCACAATCACATGATTAGTATTCTGAACTGCAAGATTTTTTTAAAGTCTCTCTCCCATGGAAGACCACTCATCTCTGACTTTTTGTTCTGATTAGGAATTAAAGATTGCATTTTATTGTATTCACATTACATTTTTCACAGGATGGAAATTTCAATACCTGTACACCTCTATTTGATGTTCTGCAAAGTAAGATGACTGCACCACAACTTGAACTGCAAACATTTAGCTCTGAACAAATGTATCTATTGTCACATCCCATTTCATGCCTACGTATGCCCTACGCCACACCAGCTCCCACCACACCTCTTTACCTTCAGAGGGTCCCTTGTCCTGCTTTCCTAGTGTGGGAGCCAGGTCTAACCCTGGGGCAGCTGGTGTTGGTATTAAACTCGTTTGTTTTAATGGGGCGAATGATCATCACTCTTAACTTAAACAACATGGGTGAGAGTCCTTAACTGAGCCTTTAAGTCCCAACTTTGTGTTTGAAAATCCTCTCATTTTCAGACTAATGTTTCTGTACCCAAACAAAGGTATTGCTGCATTTATGAGACTGATGTGAATGATTAAACCCGTGGTTAAAACCAATTATTTAGTATCAGTAGTTTTAACTGGTTATGTTGAATGGCTGACTGACCACTGAGTTTATCAGATGAGTGTTTGCTTTTTACATGGCAGATAAATTCATTATTGGCGTAAATATACACGTTTAAATCAGACAAACAATGGAGTATGCCTACTTGTACCCAATCAGATATTAAAGATTTCAGAGATTTATTGTTTGCTGTTCTTGCATGTATACTTTTTACTGTTTGTATTGCTTTTAGCTTTCAATATTTTATGCACAATTGAAAACTCAAATAAAAACCTACAGTGGAAGTTAAAAGGAAATACTCAATTTAATGTGCATGGTGTTTGGATTTATTTTTCTCTTCCAGAGCACTCAATATGCCCAGCTCTTCAGTGTCAAGTAGGCAATTCAAGGCATCATTGAACAGTGACATAAAACCAATCCTGTAAATTGCACCTAACATTTTTGAAACATTTACCTGTGCTACTTCTTCAAAGTCTTCATGACGTTTCTGCAAAGCTCTGGCCCGATGCAGGGACTTTCCTACCCCAGTGTGTTTGCTCAGGAAAGCTTCTCCATGGTTCTCAATCCAATCCAACACCTGCAACAACAACACCACAACCACATAAAATATACATTTAATGCATATTTTTCTGGTTTGCTTCCAGAGCCTGCTTCCCGCAGAAGGAAAAAAAAGCAATAAAGCCAAACTATCAAACAAACTGAAGTGAAGTCAAAGTTATGCTATCTATCTATGAAGAACTGTATTGATAAATCTGATGTCAGTTTCCCTTTGCAACATTTTAATGCTTACCTTAAAAGCTATGTTAACGGTTACTAAACCAGGAGCCATCTAAATCTAATAATACTATACAGCATAATGTTGACTGAGTTCTACACAGCAAAAATAACCTAAATTCTACAGCAGAGTCCATGGATTCTGTAGCACTATGATTTGATAGGCTAGAAATTTTGTAGCAATTTAAACAATTCAGGTTTTTAATTAATCAAACACACAGCAGAATATATATTTTATCTTTGCTGGTGTAGAACTGATTTACTTGTTCTCTACATTTGCATTTATTTATTTTTATAACTTCTCTGCACCACAAAAGTGAAGATGAGAATTAGAGTTTTTGGAAGCTGGACAAGGGTCAGTAGGGTCTGTTACAGATAAGCACATTAGATTGATGTTTCCACTCATGTGGAGAAGTGAAAACACTAATGTTGGCATTTAAACAGTCATTGTTAGGCACTGAGTTAATTTTCTGCAGAAGTTAGAAGAGCTATTGTTACAGGTTCCGAAACTCTGGGAGTATATCTACACTGCAAGACAACACTGGTACTAGCTGACTTGGGCTTCCGGATCTCAACTGTAGCGCCAGTTGATTGTGGTGTAGATTTTCGAGCTTGGGCTACAGCACAAGTGTTGAGATTCTCCTCCCTCACAGGCTTCCACAGCCTGGGCTCCAGTCTGAGCCCAAATACACCACCATTAAACAATCCCCAGCCTGAGACCCGCAAGCCCAAGTCAGAAGGCATGAGCCAGCCGCGACATTTAATTGCAGTGTATCTTTGGAGCAGTTAACTTTAAGGAAATGGAGTCATCTGCCCAACCATGGGTGCGTTTGCTGATGTTTTCTAAATAAAAGCTTTGACACTGAGAGCATAATTTTGCCATTTTCTGAGTCACCAAAAAAGAGGCCTTGAATAAAATACGAGTAAAGCCTAATCTAACTGGCTCACATGATCAAAAAAATCATTTTAATGGATAGCAAGTTACGTTCTATTTCTCAAGAGACCTCCTAGTCTCCTATTTAATGACAGGAGAGACAGATTCAAAAAAGTAAAAGCTTAATAACTGTTAAAACAATCAACATATACATGTCTTTAAATCAATCATCGTAAGATCTCAAGTAAGTGAGTTTGCTATCTGTAAATTTCAGTTATATTAATGAAAATATTTCATTTGTTACTGTGTTTAAGGTAAAAAAAGGTTTATTGACATTATTGAAAAATCTAACCCTTTAAACCCTCACTACAGTTAATATCCCATAACACCCCTCTCCAAGTCCAGTGTCTGATGTGGGAGGGGAATGTGGGGAGTGTCTTTCTCCTTCTCAGTTGGGAGCCATGTCCGTGAGGGTTTTGGGGGGGGGGTTTGCTTTGTTTTTTGGCTTCTCACCTGTGTGCAACCCCGACTGATTTTTTCTGTGGGTCAGTGGCCTTCAACCCAAAAAAGGTTCATACTATGATTCTACTGCTGTAATTAAAAGCAGTAATAAAGCAAACTTTAACTGAGTTTCACATGTTCAAAAGGGACACACTTCATTAGCAAATTCCAATGCACTTCCCTGATTTCCAAAGAGCTCCTGTTTAAACTGTCTTAATTTAAATCTGTACAAACAATATTTTCAAGAAGTCCATGTACTGTAGTGGCTTACTTGACATTCCATTACTGTCTATGCTAGTAAGATGAAATTACACAGCCTTCAACAGAGAAATTCAGTCCCATGCTTTCCTCCCCAGAAGACTAGAAACAGGAAATGAAAACCTCTGATATTGGCCCAGAATATTGCATAAGCACATAGCCACACAAAATAAGGAAGATGCTGGAGATTGTCATATATAAGGAGAATGAAGCCCAGAGACTGAAAGACTTTTCACTCCTTTAATAGTCTATCTACAGTTGGTCATTTCTCTATGCAATAATTAAAAAAAAAAAAAAAAAAAAAAAAGGAGAGATGCTTAAGTAGACAGAAAATCCTCAGTCCATGAACAAAACACAAACCGCTCCTGAAGTTCTGCTTAATAAGATTGCACAGCAAAGGGGCATGATTTGATGCATGGTTTAAATACTTAATTGTTCTCCATAACCATTTATATCAAGTTAGGTTGATCATCATGTAAAAATAGTAATTTGGAAATGTGTTCCTTCAATTGTACATCAAAATTTCTAATTTCTATGTTACAAAAACTTTTTCTAAATGCTTCTACTGGTAAAGTTTTTTTATTTCAATTTTATATAACAGTTGTAAGCAATAAAGCAAATACTGCAAGCTATGGCCCAAATCCTGCGAACAGGTACACAAATTTAAAATATGCATAGTTCTATTGACATTAATAGACTTTTTACATTAAATTTAATCATGCTTAAGTGTCTGCAGTTAGTGTAGCAAAAAATATTAAAATTAATATTATTTATTAAAAACTTTGTGGCATACATTCTTTCACTTCAAGACAAAATCAATTCTGTTTGCCTATGAAAAGTTACTTAGGCTTAATACACATGTAACAGAATTTTCAAAAATAGGAGCCTGAAAGTTTAGCTCTGAACCCAAGAGTTAAACATGGAAGATGGGATTTTTCTTAAGCACTTAGACTTGAATCTGAAAGGCCTGATGTGTGAGCATAAGCTAGTCAAAAGCATTTCTGGATTCTTGTAGAAACTCAATATACCAAAAAGAAGGGCAAGGTCTTAACAGTCTTCTATTTGTGTTGTTCCCATACTATGGGAGTTATTGAAGTCCTGGATTTGTCTTTGTCAATACTGATAAGCACTTCAAAAGTTCTACCAAGAAGATGTAAATAAATATGTAAAACTCGATATTTTATTTGCAATTAATAAACTACACATCCACTTTAGCAAGTTAATTCTGTAATTTGCAGACAGTGACTAGCTACAAAAAAAAGTGATTTAAATTGAAAAAAATCACTTTATTCATACTTGTACTCGACAACCTCTTCATTAACTTCAAAATTTCAGATTCATCAACAAGTTTGAAGAATTCAAGGCCATAGAGAAGATCACTATTTTAAAAATACTCCTGGGTTACAAAAGTTCCCAATACTTATTTGCCCTACCCCTTAAGGAAGCTGATGCTTTAAATACATATAAACATTAAAAAGTTAATAATATCCAAACGAGATACTAAAAAAGAAAAAAATGCAAATAGAGTACAACATTTTTTATAGAATTTTGCTCTGTGTCAGCTATTCACAAAATCTTATGTCTTCTGACCCACAGAAGCCTTTAGTTGAAAAGGGAAGACACAGGCTGTGTCTACACTGCCATGAATTTCCGGAACTTCTTAAAACGGAATACTATTCCGTTTTCCGTTTTTCCAGAAAAGGAGCGTCTACATTGGCAGCCTGCTTTTCTGGAAAAGCCATTTTCGCGATCAGGGCTTTTTTCCGGAAAAGACTACTGGGCTGTCTACACTGGCCCTTTTCCGGAACAGTGTTCCGGAATAAGGACTTATGCCCGAGCGGGAGCAGAATAGTTTTTCCGGCATAGCGACTGATTTTGTACAGTAGAGCATCGTTGCTTTTCTGGAAATTCAAGGGCCAGTGTAGACAGCTCGCAGCTTATTCCGGAAAAGCGGATGATTTTCCGGAATAAGTGGCCCAGTGTAGACACAGCCACAGTGTATATCCACGGAACCAGTGCATACAGCAGGGTGCAAGAGTCTACTGAGCCCCCCAAGAGACTCCTTCAAGCACAGGAAGATGACACTAAATGAAGATGTTAAAATGCAATGATTCAGTCTTGCAGCCTTCAACAAAACTAGATATTAAGCTTGTGCTATTTAATCCATTACATATACTAGCATATATATATAGACCAAATGTATGCTGTCAAATCTACAATTGAAGTCTCTCGCAGGCTGTGTCTAAACTACACGCCTTTTCTCGAAAAAGAGATTTAAATTAGACACTTCAAAATTGCAAATGAAGCCGGGATTTAAATTTCCCATGCTTCATTTGCATAATGGTGGCCACGAGTTTTTTTCAAAACGGGGCTATTCAAAAGAAAAGTGGCTGTTTAGACAGGGATCATTTTTTCATGAGTACAGGATCTTTTGAAAAAGGGGTTTATTTTCGATCGATCCCCACCTAAACAGCCATTTTTCTTTCAAAAAGCACCGTTTCAAAAAAAATCTGTGGCCGCCATTATGCAAATGAAGCACGGGAAATTTAAATCCTGGCTTCATTTGTAATTTCAAAATGTCTAATTTACATCCCTTTTTCGAGAAAAGGGATGTAGTTTAGACACAGCCTAAGTTGAGCGCCCACCCTAGCTTGAGAAAAGGACTCTCAGTACCTTGCAAAAATCAGATTGTTCCTTTAACTGAAATAAATTGATGTCCCTCATTTTTACGCATTTTCTGGTGGATTTAAACAAATTTTGATTCCTGGGCCAAAACCTCACTATGAAGTCAGATTATATTTCTTGTCAAATAAGTGAACTTCAGTGGTCCAACTATCTGGCGGTACCCCTTTAAAGTGCCCAAAAATAATCTGATGATAAAGGGATAGTCCATTCACCTATCAAATTTCATTCAGAATCAGTTGCCTCTTATTATCACAACTGTATTTAGATGCAACTAAGTCTTAAGATATATGGAAGCTCATTCAAGCCACAAACTGCACTTGGATTTCTAATTTGTACAGAAATTGTTTGTTTTGAATTATTGTCTAATATTTGTTAATAGCATATTTGGCCGCATTAACATCGAGACAGCAACTAACCTGTTGGACATCCTGTTGAAAAACACACAATTGAAGCCGTTGGTGCAGGCGGACCTTTCTATGCTGCCAAATGTTCTCCAATTGTCGCTGGTGGTGCAGTACTTCATGGATGACATCCAGAACATGATGCACTGCCTTAGAGTAGTTAGCAGAAGCTGTTAATGAGTCAGAGCTTCCAGGGGTCAAAGGTCGCTGAAGTTTATCAAGTAATGACTTCCCGTCTTGGCTCACCTGACCAGGAAGAGGGTTGAAGAATTAAATTTCTGTTTGAAAACTCATTAATGAATGCAAACTATGAAATTATATAGGTCAAATTAATTAAAGGCATGGCAGACAGTACTCTCTATCCCTCTGTTCCCAGTATGGGAACACACAAAACATTTATGTCTGCCTGCCTGCCTGCCTGCCTGTCTGGTTGTTCAAGAACTCCTCCTAAACAGTCAGAGGTAGGACCACCAAATTTGGAATGCAGCTTCTTCGAATCTTAACTTAGAGCGAGGTCAAGGTTTTGTTGTGCCAAGAAAATGGGAAGTGCCAGGAATGGAACTGTTTTCCATAACATGGAAAGGGAGGGGCACATAGAGGAGGGATGCAATACTGATAGTGGTCATTGGAGGCAGCAAGCTGTCAGGAGAGCGCTATCCTGCAGAGAGTCCACAAGGGGCAGGCACACCAGCAAGAAATTGGGTAGAGGGGGTTGGAGCTCCACCATCTTGTCTGCCACCAGACCAGTAAGTAGAACCGTCTGCCCCAAAGCTTTCCCCCACAAGCAAGCTGTTGGCCACAACGCCGGAGAGGGAGAAAAGGCCACTGCCAGTCGAGGGAGGTCTGGGAAGGGGGAGAAAAGGCCCCTGCCGGCCCCAGAGGCTGGGGAAGGACAAAGGGCCCCTGCCAGCCACTGGTGATAGGAGAAGGGAAAGAAAAGGCCCCACTGGATACAAGCTCCACCCTAAACCCCTCCTCAGCCCCCCCCCATCCTCACTCTCTCCCTCCCTGCATCACACCCCCACACCTCCAAGACCCTACCCTGACTCCTGCACCCACCATACTGCCAGCCACCTGCTTTGAAGGACCCAGGCAATGCCAGATTAATCTTTCAGTTGTCAATAAAAGTGACATCAGTTAAGGGCAAAGTTGGTTTTATCTGAGTTTTGGTGGTTTAGCATGCTTTGAAGGAAAGGGGTTGTTAATTTTTTCAGAGAAAATTTATTTTCTTGGGAAGCCAAGCATTAAAAATTCAAGAAACTAAAATCTTACATACACTGAAACTTCCATCAAATGCTCCTGTTTGCCCTAAGTAACTATCTCAACCAGTCAACACAAAACAGAAAAGTCAAGGTATGTTTTAAAGAAAAAGAAAAAGAAAAAGAAAAAGAAAAAAGAAACTTGTGAACCCCATGCAATTCAACCAAGTCTAAAAAGTAGTATGGAATATAAATTAAAGAAAGTTAGCCATATATTTAAAATGCAACAATTATTATAATCACCACCACCAGATAACTGACACCTAACTATTTTCATTTTATGATGTTTAAATTTCTGCACTTCATATAGTAAAACTAAACACGACCAGCATTTGGCAGAGTTCTGTAGCATTTGAATTCAAGGAGATTTTTTTGTTCTTAAAGAATGTTTTTAAAATACTACTTTCATCATCAGTATCACCACAATTCATTCACTTTTGTTACACCTCATGCAATCCTCTTCCAAACATTTTTTGCAAAGCACATAATATATATTTACACTAAAGGAGATGGAGAGAAAGACTGAACAGAAAAAAATGGTTAATACAGGATATTTTAGTTATAAAAGGAAGTCAACACCCATTTGATTTCCTGGCTGTTAGGGTCCCTGAAATATTTAAAGAACACCAGAAACACTTCATGATGGATGTTAATTTTTTGTGCTCTATTAGTGTTTTGTCAGCATTTTTTCAAAATAAATTGTGTATATTAGACCTGATAATTCAGACGTGCAACCTGGTGGTTGTAAATCTGAAAGTCAGGATTATGAGACTTTTTGAAAACTAAAAGTTGTGTCGAACATGATAAAATATTATATAAATTCTTAATGTGCATATACACAGGTGAGTTCTATGTGCTATTTCTTTAACTGCTTGCAGAACAAGATATCTGATTTTAGTTTGCCAAATGAATAATGTGATCCTTAATCCATTCCAATTTAACTCTTTGTAATAAACAGAGTTTTAAAAAAAACTTATCTAAGTGCTTACTCGTAATTTAGTCCTTTTCCACATGAATTTATTATGTCCTGTGCACTCAAAGCACATATTTGAGTGACCGTGTCATAATGTATCTGAGCATCTTTTAATGGTATTAAAATATACAATGGAAAAATATACCACTTCATACATTGCTGAGCTGTCTGCACCAAGGCAACTTGCTGGGAATCATTATGGGATCCCAGTCAGACAGTTAAAAGTTCTTCCCACAGGAGCAAAACCCAGAAACCAAGTCTGAGTTTGAAAAAAACAGACCAGGAAAAGCCAGAATTCAAAGTTAAGACTAACACTACATTTCTGTGCAATACTTACTGCCAAACTTAGCATAGAATTTTCTGGTTTTTGTCAGTTAGTGATGTAACCATAATTTTATTTAAACATATTATAAATAAGTCAGCAGCCTAATGGAATAAATAAGCTCCCTACCTCTGAATAAGCCAAACTGATATGCTCATATATTCCTTGATGATGATGAATGGCATCTTCTAAATCTTGTAGTTCAGAAGGAAGTTCTACTTCACCACAGGCCTTACACCATGAATCCACATTGTTCATATACTAGGAATTGAAAAACCACATTGTGTCATTCTCAGATGTACACATGGTAGGACACTTTCAGAAAGTATAACTCATTTACAGACATTCATACATTGGGGTATGCACAGCTATTTGTGGGGAGGAGGACTCTTGAAAGAAGTGTTATTTAATGAAAACCATCTAATCTAAGTCAGTATCAGAGTTCACAAGTCAAGTAGTTTCCAGAATACAACCAACAGTCTTTAAACAGCCTGAGGCCATGTTCTTAGTTCTACAGCATGTTGCGGAGCGCTACACACATGCACACAGAAATGGAAGCTGGCCAACTGAATGTCAGCAACCTTTGAACTGAATTCAATCGCTAAATATAAGTCTTATTTCGTGAGTTTTCACTCACCATTTCTTGCTTTTGCAGCTAATCAAGTTAAAGACGCAGGACACATGCTCCACATCACATACACCAAAGGCAACTAAATCTATTGTGCCAGTGGGTTATAACTGGTGACCCGCAGATTCTAAGGTTCCGTCTACACTGCATAATATTTGCGGAAGAGGAAATGCAAATGAAGCGCTCATTAGCATTTCTCATGCTCTCATTTGCATATTCTCTTCCAATCCTTTTGAGGAAGAGGTTTTTGTGGAAAAAACGCAGTGTAGACAGGGCCATTTTGCATGAAAAACCCATTTGCACAAGAACCCTTATTCCTTTGAGGGTACTTTGAGAATAGGGTTTCTTGCGCAAAAGGTGGTGTGTGTGTGGTGGGTTTTTTTTTGTTACACAAAATGGCCCTATCTACATTGCGGTTTTTTTTCCCCACAAAAACGGAAGAGAATATGCAAATGAAAGCATAATAAATGCTAATGAGCACTTCATTTGCATTTCCTCTTCCGTAAAAACTTGACAGTGTAGACGGAGCCTTAGATTGCCAAAGGGGTCTGCACTGACATAAGACATTTTTAGGAGTTTCCAAATGGGGGGGAAAAAAAGAAAAAAGGCTGAAAACCACTGTATTATCCTACCTACTACATAACAAGGATTGCATAGGGGAGATGCAACTTAAACAGAGTTACTCTTCTCAGCTAAGTGCTGGATCTGGGAAGCAGATAAGCTGGTATAGAAGCACTATAATAAAGATCTAAAAGCTATTTGAATGTGAACAGAAAGACCTAAATGAAAATGACAGTTTAAAACCAACCAATCCTAGTATCCAGCTATAGCCAATAATCCCTGTCTCACCCTGTTTCTCCCACACACAACTCTCAGCTAGCTGATAAATCACAGATAGTTTCCTTATGGAGAGAGTACTAAAATCCATCACAGCTAATTATCAAATGAACACAGCAGAAGGAGCAATTAAATAAGCTAATTTAATTAATCCCAGCAGACTGCAAACTATGTTCTTTCCTCTAATTTATTTTATTTCTCTCACCAATTCGCACTTTGTACACTCTATATTGAATCATGTAGTAATGTCCCAAAATGGCTTGGACATTGTCACTCATAAATTGTTTTGTACCTGGCAGTTAACTGACAAACTTTCTGTAAATTACAGGTTGAGCCGCTCTAGGCTGCGTTTATACTACAAGCTTCTTCCGCAAGAGGAAATGAAAATGGAGCGCTCATTTGCACATGTTGCTCACTCATTTGCATTTCCTCTTCGGATCCCTTTTGAGCAAGTAGTTTTTGCGCAAAAAAGAGCTGTGTGGACGGCTCTTTTTTGCATAAAAGCCCCCTTTTACACAAGAGCCGTTCTTCCAAATGAGGAGCAGTCCACACAGCTGTTTTTTGCACAAAAACCTCTTGCACAAAAGGGATCCGAAGAGGAAATGCAAATGAGAGCACAACATGTGCAAATGAGCGCTCCATTTGCATTTTGCTCTTGTGGAAGAAGCTTGTAGCATAGACGCAGTCCTAGTACAGTTTGGCTGAACCACAGGAGGTCAATATTGTCTAGCAACATTACCAACACTTTCATTACTTACTGGGCTCTTAGTAAGTACCAAGACTAGAGCACCAAGAGCCAGGATTGGTGACTGTAAACAAACTTTATGGGACCATGGGAAACTTGGCCACACCCATGATAAGTGAACATCTGCCTAACTCAGCAGTTCCCAACCTTTTCCAGATGGGGACCCATTTTGACAGTTCAGGAAGACTTGGTGACCCAAGGCGATTCAAAAACAAGAGGTAGGGGAAAGAGAGGGGGAGGCAGAGCCACCTGGGGAAACACTTGGCAACCAATATTTGGATCCCGACCCATAGGTTGGGAAACCCTGGGCTAACTAAAATCATGACAGACTACAGATGTTGCCAGACCTGAGAATGTCAGATTAGAGAGGTTCAACATATAAAACATTTTTAATTTCAGACACTGATGCAGTTCATTTTAAAAAAACAATACCACTCCACTTTGGCTAGAAGGCACACAAACAAGTCATTATGGTTTTGCTTATGGTGCTTTTCAAAGCTGTCAGACCGGCAATGCATATCTGTTAATTAGCCAGGGAACAAATACAGCACAGACACCGGTAAAGTTCCACACTGTCCCATCAATTATCTCAAACTGACTTACAGGGACCACATCTATAGGTGCATGAAAAGAGTTTTTTCTTTATGACTTGCCCTTCTGTGGCCTCACTGTTGAGACTGCTAAAAAAAGGTCTCTCTTAGCAAGAGCTGTACTTGTAAAAAGGACACCTATTTACCATAAGAACACTAAAATTAGCCACTTAGCTCATTAGACCATCAACCTTTTTTTTTTTAGGGGGGGGCACTGACCCACAGAGAAATCAGTCGGGGGTCGCACACAAGTGAGACGGAAAAAAGACCCTCACTGACATGGCCCCCGACTGAGAGGGAGAAAGACACTCCCTGCATTCCCCTCTCATACCTAAACGTAGGGTGGCGCAGCCCAGTAGATTTTGTGTGCTCCAGCCCCATAAGAGATATTGAGGGGTTGGAGGTGGAGCACCATTTTAAGCTCCTCAATGCTAGAGGGGGCCCTGAGTCTCAGGGGCCAAACGTGGCGCCCGGGCCTGAGGTTCCCCACCCCTGCCTTAGACCAAAGCATCATCATTAGCATGCTGAAAGCACTTTAGAGTTGTCTGTCAATTAATAGTCACATTCTCAAACTATTTGGTTTTATGAGTCTAGCATCACCTCTTAAGGCTACACTGCAACTTGACTATGCTGTAACTTTCACATTCAGGAGTGTGAAAAACACATCAACACCCCTGAGCACACCAAGTTACAGCTCTGTAAAGCACCAGTGTAAACAGGCTCTCAGCACTGTTAGCTGCTCCTGTCTTGGAGATGATTTACCTACAGTGCTGAGAAAGCTCTCTCCCAACGCTGGTGCTGTGACTACACTGCTATGTTAAAAATAAGGGGGGAGTTGATAGCAGCCTTCAACTTCCTGAAGGGAGGTTTCAAAAAGGATGGAGAGGGGCTGTTCTCAGTAGTGACAGATGGCAGAACAAGGAGCAATGGTCTCAAGTTACAGTGGGAGAGGTCTAGGTTGGATATTAGGAAAAACTATTCCACTAGGAGGGTGGTGAAGCACTGGAATGGGTTACCTAGGGAGGCAGTGGAATCTCCATCCTGAGAGGTTTTTAAGTCTCTGCTTGACAAAGCCCTGGCTGGGTTAATTTAGTTGGGGTTGGTCCTGCCTTGGGCAGGGGGCTGGACTTGATGACCTCCTGAGGTCTCTTCCAGCTCTAGGATTCTAAGGCTCCCACAGCTGCATTTTAAACTTAGCTGTGTAGACAAAGACTCAGTAAATACAAAAATTCACCCTAAGACAATTAGCAATTAAGACTACTACTTAAGTTTCTTTGGCCAAATATTCTTGTTCTTAGCTCCTAAAATGCTTCTTACATTGCTGGGCAAATGGCAAATATTCTGGGAGTATGGCATACTGCAGGAGAAAACTAAGGAATATAGGGACTATACTTACCACTCTAACTTCTGACCTAGCTCAACAAGCCTAGTATTCCCTATCAATAAAACCTCCAGCAGCGACAAACAAAACACATCAACAAGGAAACAGAATATTGATGGGAGACACAACAGTATGCATCTGCCAACTAGGCTGCAGCTTTTCCTGAAGGAAAAACCTTGCTGTCATTATCAAAGCTATTAACCTGGGAATGCAGAATACCTAGGCCTACTTCTTCCTGGAGCAGATTAATTCACTGGTTGTTACACAGTACTTATACCAGTATTTTAAATCATTAGGGGGTGTAGCACCAACAACAGGGATACGTATGGTCAAAGAAAGTTAAGTGTATTCTTATGGGACACCGAGTAAACATGCCGACCCAACTCCTAACCCAGATTCAAGAAAGACACAAGTAGTTTACTTCCCCTAATTATCTAGTGAGTTAGGTTTACTATTCAATAGGTGTTTCTCAAAATGCCCCTTAAAAATACAGACACATTCTGGGACTTACAAACATCATCAACTTTCATTGAGGGAGTGTAAGTCAGAAGGAATTACTGACCAAACGATCGTTTGGGTAAAAAGGCATTTATAGTCATACTAATTATTTCCTTTCTTCATCATCTCAAAAGCTTGTCCCATGATGAACACCTATGCTCAAATCATTAGATTTCAACACCCCTTTTTCATCTTCTAATTTATATCCCTGACTGGAGTTCTATGGAGCCTTGTGTATAGAACACAAGGCTGGCAAACTTGTGTTAGGAAGAACAAGGCTCAGCCTAAACATGATGATCAAGTTCCATACAACTGTACACCTGTGCAGAGATCCAAGTCTTCTGCTGGTAGCCTTTGCCTTCTTCTAAGCTCCATCTAAGTTGGAGCTTCCTAGCTTTCATTGGTTGTGCCCCATTTACTGACCTGTTCAGCTTTCTGGTGGAAGATGGAGGACATATCCAGTAAAGTGCTTCGTTCATCCAAGGCTGCAGCAAATGCCTTCCACTCCTGCTCCAACTGACTAGCAATCTGTTTAATCTGCTGTGAAGCATAATGCCCAGACTCAACCAAACGATTTGCTACTGACATGATGCGGTTTATGTTAACATATACATTCTGTGGAAAAGAGATAACAAAGGGAAGGTGCGGTTAGGAAATACAATTAATAACCTCACTAGGATAGATCTATTAAAGAATATGTAAACAGTGCTGAGCAATATTTACTGAACAACCTGATTTTAGGTACACTAAAAGTAAATATTTGAGGGTAGATCTTCTGCTGGTGTAAAGAGGCCTTGCTTCATTGACTACAAAATGGAGATCTTAGCTGCTGTAAATCTGTGTATCTGATTCATAATAAATGATAATACTGTGTTCAAAGGAACTCCAAGAACTTTACAAAGTTCCCTATAAAAGCAAGCATTGGACAAGATTACCTTATCTCTAAGGCCCCTTGGAGAGGGAAGAGAGATTTTACAGGTGAAAGCATTCAAATAGTTAACCATTAGGAAATTATACCTGAGTGGCAATCATTTGTTTCACATGGTGTGTTCATGTTTCCAGACTACTGACATTTAGGAGCTTCTCCCTCCCCCCCACCTCTCCTCAAATTTCAAGTCTTTACCTCCACTCGTTGAGGCATTACAACCATTGAAAGCCACAGAAAGTTCCAGAGTACAAGTGCTCTTGAGTATATGGCAATATTAGAACTGGTTTTGCACATATTTTCTGAAAAATTTACTCCCACACTTAAGCACTGAATTCCAACCAGAGGAGTAAAAGACTGGATAACTTCCAAAAAAATTGAAAATGATACTCTAAAGCAGTGTTTTTTATCCTGCAGACCCCAGACCCCCGGTGGTCCACAGGCTAATGTCTAAGATTTCCAAAGGGAACTGCAGTTCCATTCAAAAATTTTTAGGGATCTGCAAAAGAAAAAAGTTTGAAAACCACTACTCCAAAGTGCAGATCTGTCCTGACCCATACACAGAATACACAGCTGAGTAGGACACTTGAAAATCTGGGGCTCCACTGGGTCTTAATGTACACCCACCTGTCTCTTCCTATTCATGTTCTGTGGTTCTGCTTCCTCCAGAGAGGATCTAGTTAACTTAAGTGAAAAAGCCTGCCAGAGATACTTGCAGAATACTGAACCTGTAAAAGAGCCATTCAAGTGATAATGAAGCCATATAAAAGGCATGTGCCAACCCCAGGTACATGCTGTCAGTTTCTGAATTTATTGTGTTAGTCTACAGGACCATAGTTTAAAATTTGTCTAAAAATATTTAATTAGTGTGTTGATAAAGATTATAAAATCACAACTCTAAAAAAATCATCATCCATCCCTGATCCTAAGGAAACTACAAAACATCGATAACCTCCCCAATAATACCATCCTTGCCACCATGGATGTAGAAGCTCTATATACCAACATCCCACATGAAGACGGATTACAAGCAATTAGAAACACTATCCCAGAGGACACTACTGCCAACCTGATAGCAGACCTATGTAACTTTGTTCTCACCCACAATTATTTCCGGTTTGAGAACAACTTATACCTCCAGATCAGCGGCACAGCCATGGGTACACGCATGGCCCCACAGTATGCTAACATCTTTATGGCTGACCTAGAACAACGTTTCCTCAACTCCCGTCCCCTTTCACCCCTCCTCTACCTACGGTACATCGATGACATCTTTATGATCTGGACACATGGCCAAGAAACACTGGAGATATTCCACAGAGATTTCAACAACCTACACCCCACCATCAACCTCAGCCTGGACCATTCTACACGAGAGATCCACTTCCTGGACACCACCGTACAAATCAACAATGGAAAATTAGACACCACTCTCTACAGAAAACCCACTGACTCATACAGTTACCTACATGCATCCAGCTCCCATCCAGAACACACCACACGATCCATCGTCTATAGCCAAGCCCTTCGATACAACCGCATCTGCTCTAACCCCACTGACAGAGACCAGAAGCTTCAGGATCTCTACCAAGCATTTATAAATCTCAACTACCCACCCAGAGAAACAAAAAAGCAAATTGAAAGAGCCAGACGAATACCTAGAAACCATCTACTTCAAGACAGACCCAAGAAAACCAACAATAGAACACCACTTGTCATCACCTACAACCCCCAACTTAAACCTGTCCAACACATTATCAATAAACTACAGCCTATATTGGAACAGGATACCATACTCAAAGAGGCTCTGGGAGACAGACCCATAGTCTCCTATAGACAACCACCTAACCTCAAGATGATTCTTACCAACCACCACAGGACATACCACACTAATACCAACCCTGGTACCTTCCCTTGCAACAAACCCCGTTGCCAGCTTTGTCCACATATTCATTCTGCTGATACCATTATTGGACCTAACCAAGTGAGTTATAAGATCAAGAACACATATTCCTGCGCATCCAGAAATATAATCTACGCTATCATGTGCCGAAAGTGTCCGTCTGCTATGTACATTGGACAAACATCTCAGACACTTCGCCAAAGGATTAATGCCCACAAAACAGATATCAGACAAGATCACAAAGAGAAAACAGTTTCTTGCCACTTTAACCAGAAAGGACACTCTCTAAATGACTTAGCCACCTGCATTCTGCTACAAAGACCTTTTACATCTGCACTTGAAAGGGAATCCTCTGAACTGTCATTCATGTTAAAATTCGACACTTACCACCAGGGACTTAACAAGTCTTTGAACTTTCTCACCCATTATCAAGACAGTTTCCCCAATTATCACCTGTAATACCATTAACTCACAAACATCCCACTCTCCCTACCTCTAATATCATCAATTCACAGACACTTACCTTCCTTCCTCCCCCTTCCCACCCCCCCGCCTCCTCCTTCTGTTCTGCAATGTGATTTGTCCTTTTCATATTTGTTCTTTTTTTTAATTGTATCCTTTGGTATATATGGTTGTGACTACTTTCTTCCACTATTTGATCTGAGGAAGTGGGTCTGGCCCACGAAAGCTCATCATCTAATAAACCATCTTGTTAGTCTTTAAAGTGCTACATTGTCCTGCATTTTGCTTCAACTACCCCAGACTAACACGGCTACATTTCTATCACTGACTTCAATTGGACATAGAGGTACCAGTTTAATAGTAGTGTGTAGGGCCCAATAAATCCAAAGGATGGTCCTGCTAAAGTGTTAACTCCTGGGCAATCTTATCCATAGGCTTCACTGCATTCTTGTCACAATTACATTCTTATTCTGACCCTAAATACTCAACATCCATTCTAAACTCAGGTCAGGATCTTGCAACTATAGAACATATTTCAGTTTCTAGAAAATACCAAAAATTGAAAATCCTTACCTTACCATCAAGGAATATTTATTTTCACACAGTCACTCTTTCTCTAGGCCAGTCTGAGAAACTACTATAGAGTTATCTGTAGCAAATGTTCTTGGTTTACTTTTTTCCCCTGCATCACTGAAGAATATTAGGACTATCTAGAATGTTTGATATATGCAGTGACACAGAAATTCATTAGCAAAAGGTCCCCATTCTTTGCAAAAAGATTTTACCACAGACCTGAAAAATGCTCCACGCTAAACATTTTACCAGATATTTGTCCATAAAGAACAACATGTAAACTATATACAGAACAGTGTTTCCTGTAAGTGGAGTGGTTGGGCAGACCCCAGGAGAGATTCAGGTGCCTCCTGGCTAATTCTCAGAGCCCTGCAGCCACCCACAGCCAGCAGCATGTGTTTCTTCTGGTGGAGCACATCTGCATATGCCTTCATGCACATAACAAAATTTATTCTGCACGTGGATGGAAAAATTAGAGAGAACTTTGCTATCGAAATCTGATAAATCTTATCAAGATTTATAATCATTACTAGAATGAGCAATATTTAGAGAATAATGTATTTATACTGAAAGCATGCTTTATGTCCATGACGTCCAACCAGTTCTGAAGTACTGTAGTGGGTACTGCCACAGTGAACCACCCACAATCAACTGGCCAAATAGACACATGTGACTAGTGTGTTGGACACCATGGTTTTATACACTTGAAGTGGAAATTAGTCACCAGAAGGTAAAGTGTTTCAATGACGACCCATTAAAAGAAGAGGGAGTTGTTTACTATTCTTACTCCCAAGCCAGCTGGCAAGGTAATATAAGGCTTTCTTGTTTACCCCTGCCACATCCCAGAACATTCAATGGAAAACTATCATGTGGTGTTCAAATGCCAACACCACAAACCACTTGGAGGTGAAAAGAAACATTGTAGCATGCAGATCACCCCCGCTATGAATAAAGATAAAAGATTCTTTCACTGTTACAGGGTAGGAAAAGATACTGCATTCATTCACTGAGGAACCACACATATCCCCCACCTCCGAAAGAGTGACCTTTGGATCTTTGTTCTTGTGAAACCAGGTAGGTCTGTAATGGACTGAACTTCGGGGGGAAGCCTACCTTGTAATATAAGAAATGTAACTACTAGTAAGTGTACACCCAGGTTCATATTTTATTTTTTTTGTTTTCATTTGCTTTTATCGTTTTTTCTCACTTGCAATTAAATCTTTGCCCTTTCTGAAAGTGCTGTGTGGTTTATAGAAGTGAAGCTTTAATGTTAAACTGGTAAACTGGAATATTGTGTATGTCAAGTATTTGAAATTTCTACCAGTAAACATAAGTAATGGAAACAATTCAAGAAGGGCTAGCGTTTGGGATTCACCTTTTTGTTAAAGTGGAAGGCGAAGTAAAGACTGGTGTAGCCCAGAGAAGAGTGCCTGAGTGGCTAAAAGGCTCATGGTGTTAGATGACAACCTGAAAAAAAAAAAAAAAAAAAAAATCGCTCTCTTAAAAAGCGGGAGGAAATAAGATGACTCTCAGTTTTAGGTGCTGCAAAAAACATCACACATGTAGTACAAATATAATACCGTGTCTAAACAAAGAAACTCAAGCAAGCACTAATGCACACAATGCTCCTGAGAAGAGTGAAGAACTTTTTCAAATCTCCCTTCTGCACTTTTTGAAATCAATCACAGATCAGTGTGGAAAAAAGTCACCCACTCTAATTTTACTCTGTGATGTGATAGCTTTGCTACCTGA